ATCACTGACCGCCATGTTGGTTATCAAGTAATTGGTGGTCGTTTTTAATCGATTGTCCCTAAAGACTATCCACACTATAAAGACGTTTCCTAGCATGGCAAGAAAAAATTCAACAGAAAATGCCGTAGTCCATGTTATCTTGTCGTTGAAGTTGTCAGGAATATCTGGATGAGTAAAGTTACGAGTAGAATTATTGAACATCCTGTTTATACCGGACGCCCTGCTTCTGATGTTTTACAATGGAAAACAATCTGATCTAAAAGTGTTCTCCAATATACGCTCTTTGACATGTCACACTACATTTGGACAACATAGTTATTGAAATCTTAAAGATCGTAATTATAATAATCATCTTTTGTAATAGGAGGAAGTCGATAAGAACAGCTGAATGACCGACACTAAATCAAATTAACTATGGCCTCGTGCTCATATGACGTTCCAATCACTCCAAAAGCTTCTTTCCATGATTGCTTTAATTTTCACTAGGCATTTTCAAAACAACATTGAAAAAAGCGTTTTGAAAAGATTGGGACGTTTATTTGGTGGACACTAGGCACAATCTAGCAATCAATCAACAAATTGAACGATTATCATAAAATATTCATGGTATTAATTGTCAGTGTGGTATACTACATTTAATCAGAATGAGCAAACGAAGCTTACAAAACCTATTATATTCAAGCTATATATATCAAGCCATATATATATCACTATGATAAAACAACAAAATGTACATTTATGCAAGATAAAAAGCGCACAAGCAACAACCCTCAAATTATATGTCGGCGATTATTGAACATATGAATACATTTAAAGATGATATTCTCGGTGTTCAAAAACTCTTGAGAAAGTATTGTGGTTGATGTCATCTAAAAAATGTTAATGATCCACAGTGGAATACACACACAAAGAGCATTCAGCATTAAATAAAGTCAAATTTATTGAGACTATCAGCTTTAAACATCTTAAAACTAATAATAGCTATATTTTAGCTCATCAATTGTATGTGAGCCCTTTTATCAATTATTACATGACGGTGCAGCGTACATATGTCTTTTTTTATTGTATTACATTGTATTTTACTTCCGTTATTGCAGTTTGTCCATGTGTACTCCTTGTTTTCAATTCAGTTCCTGTATTTCTATCACTGCCGCTCCACCTGGCATTGGCTGCGTTCTGTTAGCGCCAGTTTGACAACAACACTTGGGTACCAAAGCTTTGACATTCTCACGGTAAWTATCATTGAAGATGAGATAGATGAAAAAGTTGTACACAAGACTGGCTCCATAAATGACAGCAGAGGCATAGAACAAATTGAAATAAAATGAGAACGAGAGGTTGTTCAACTTTCCATGATAATTCAACATTGCAAAAGTGAACTGAAAACCGCGGCAAAGATAAAGCAAAACTACAACTGTCACAGCATGTTTTAGCACTTTTTTGTTTTGTTGTTCTCTTCTTCTTCSTTCWGATGTTGCCAATCCGGTTACTTTGTGGTGATAAAGTTTGCAGATGGTAAAAGTGTAGGTGATTGTGATAAACAACACTGGCAAAAAAATGGCGAAACCTCCAAAGATATACCCATAAAGCAAGAATGATGACAGGTACTTGTTAGATAAACTACAATACAATGCGTTGCCATCTTTTATTGTGGTTAAAAAGTACAAATATGGTGAGGAGATTACGGCTGCAACAATCCAAATGACTGTAATTATGTGTCTCAACTTGCCCTCAAAAGGTCTCTTGAATGGATGAGCCACGGCGCAATACCGGTCAATAGCAATGGCAATATAGCTATATACAGAAACAGCGAAAGACATTTCTGGAGTAAAGAAAGTTAACTTGCATAGTGCATTACCAATGTCACCACCAATCAGCCATTGTCTATCAAAGTTTACGAACACTATTTCTCTTGGAAAGGAAAAAAGAGCTGCAACAAGATCACTGACCGCCATATTGGTTATCAAGTAATTAGTAGATGTTTTTAGTCGGTTGTCCCTAAAGACTATCCACACTATAAGGACGTTTCCTATAATGGCAAGAAAAAATTCAAGAGAAAATGCCACAGTCCATGGTATTTTACTGTGGTAAGGAACAGGAATACCAGGACGAGTAGAGTTGAGAGTAGAATTATTAAACATCGTGTTTATACCTTTCGCACTGCTTGTGATGTTTTAGAATGAATAAGTTTAGCATAAAAGAGTTCTTAAAGGTTGAAAAAATGCGTTCAGAAAATAATGAAATTAGAGATTCATGTCATCTCAAACACGCCGAGTCAGCTGATGAACAATATTGCAAACTAGTTTTACATATTAG